CGGCGATCCTTCGACACCTTAAAACACCAAAAACAAACCTATTTAAAGCTTGGTAACCTTTCTGTGTGTACTCGTTGGAGTGCGCAAAAGTCAATATCTTCGTTTGTATAAGACCCATTTCTCGCACATGCGCGGTGCGACGACTACCGCCTCTTAATGCTTCACTTGTATTATTTATACTAAATTCGCTCACATTGTACATAGAAAACTTAAATTTATCGGCGATACGCTGTATAACTTTTCCATGAGGATGACCACCTATTGACTTATCAAGCCTTCGTTTATGAACGAAAACTGTTGTACTATTATAAATATCGCGCATTGCTTATCTGGAAAAACAACTAAAATATTATTACTTTACACTCACTGTAACTACCAATTATGACTACGCCAAGTGGTCGTTTCGCCCGCTTGGATGTTACCGGTAGTATCATGTTTTAACCATTTTTCAGACGTGCAAATTTAATTAGAAAATATCGACATCAATAGTCCCGCAATTTAATTCTGGAACTCTACAGTTATTGACACCTTTCTGGATTATGAAGAAGTACTTTGTAAAATATATGTATTATATTCAAACATTTCTTTTTTCCCTACATGTAACAAAATTAAAACTTATTCTAAAAAGTGTTTCATGTGCATTTCAAACAACAAAACTACATATATATATACGAATAGCTAGTGAGAAAGCCAATTCGTGTTTCCTCCAATACTGGCCAATCACTGATTAGAATTAAACTCAATGAATGTGTAAAGCTTTCTAAGCTCATTGCAATTGTATATATCAATAATATATTTAAACGCACGACGGGGACTATGACATTAACAGACTTGTTTATTTTCATTCGCTAATAGTAAGGGCGAGCAGTAAGGCTTGGTGCATCATCCTTGACTATTCAACTAAAACAGATGAAATAAAATCCATATTAGCGATAGCCGTGCATAGTTCAACCATTTCGACCATTTATTCTACCGAAACCTCAGCATAAATCCTTGGCGAATTTCACCACGATGTGCTGTATATACCACGCCCTCAAACGATTATAAGATTCACTTTGGCTCATTTGCATTACCCAATCAGTTTTCACGATAGAAACGACATATTACTTGATACAATTAAAAATGGCGGAATATAGAAATAAACGTGTTGCTAGATTTTTCTCTGTGAACTGACCATGAAATAATAGACCGGACCCGGCAAGTCAATACGTTATCACTTTCGACAGTTTGGTCAATTTACTAAAAAAACGGTTTGCACAAATATTTAGACATTCAATCGTCTTCATTCACTTGCCCACAAACAATTTTTAACGTTGATATAAGAAAATTTTAGAAATGTGTCAACGAATATAGACCTTCTGTTTTTGACTCCGGATGAATCAGCGCAAAACCTATACTATACTATATGTATACTAGAGCTTCACATTTATGATACAGCAACGCTGATTGGTTGCGACAGCTCCTTCGCGCGCCCAATCAAATGATTAATCCAACTGCAGTGAAATACAACTTTTCCTAACGCGATCACGCACGGTTTCGTGAGCCGGTTATGAATGGCCGACTTTAACCTGTTATAGACACATGCTGAACATCTGGGATTTCTGTTTTTCTTTGTACTATACTAATCCACAAGATAGACGCATGAATCATATTGATACATCGACAATCATTTCATACATTGTTTCATAGTAGTATTTACAGTGATTCCGATGACATATTCTTGTTGCAGCACACAGGCATACGTGACGATTATTCTTACGCAATAATCACAATACCGACCGTCTGTTTTCAACAGGCACGCAACATATTGTAACTTGTTGCAATCGCAGCGATACGACGATACAGTAACATAGCTACCTACACGTTGTTCATGATATTCTAACTGTCATCCCCAGGTAACAGTTCAAGCGACATGCATTACACTGACTGCCATGAGTGTTGATAGATACTATGCTATAGTGCATCCACTGAAATCTCTGAAGACTCGCACTCCTAAGGTGGCCATTAGTGCCATTGCTGCTATCTGGTTATGTAAGTACAGTGATGATGTGTGGCGTTGTATACTGTCGATATTGTCAGTATAAATTGTCAATAAATTAGTTATGAACAAGATCAGGGTTTATATTTTGCTTAATATTGTCACTTCAATGCGTTGTACGATGTCATTTGTCTGCAATATAACACCGGTCTAACTCAAGTACGTATACGTAGTACTTGAGCAATTTACAATGAATCTGAATTCAAACCCCGGATGCAGAATATGCAATGAGTCGAAGTACATGCATGTTTCAGCCTTATTATTTTTTCCCGATTTTTATTGTTAATAAAACAGTTCCACTTGCAAGTAAAAAAAAGACGGACGCGGGGTTGCGACGATGTCTTCAAAAGGCGTCATCTATTAAAATTCATTTTTGTCAAGCGAACCTCAGGGATTACAGTACAATATGACAATTTACCGGGCTCATGGCAAAATATCAAATACGTCGCATTCCAGGAAGGCTACGTTTCTCTCTGGCGGTGTATTACTAATGATTTTATGTGTCATTTCCTATAATAGTGTGCGTCGTATGTCCAAATTATCTAGGATTAGAACGACGAAATGGCGACTACTCTATCCTTAGTTTTCGCATCGCATTATATGTGGTCACTTTGCCCACACAATTGTATGAAAACCAACATTTCAGTAAGATTTGATCATCTTTATGTGGTTATATTTATAAATGATTGTTGTTATATCACTCCATCCTGATTTAATGAGACAGCACAGAACGCATCAATATACGGCTTTACCACCCTTTCTTTTTAGTTGTACATGTCTGTATACGGCTTAATGTGTTTGATTGAAGTCGAGTCATTTCTTCAAAACGTGTCTCATCATAACGTAACCTAGTACGCTGATTTCTTCACCCATGTCTGCAAGATAAGGCATCATTTTTGAAACGTGATATGAGAATATACTCTGCAATGACCCTTATAATTCACAGCGGTGCTCACATAAATTTCGTACGCTCACTGATCACTGTAACACGATCTGAAACCCCGATACGATTTAACAGCATGTAGCGTAGCTCTAGAATGCGGTGAAATAAAATCATGACGTGAAACATTAGATGTGGCCACAACTAAATTAACCACATGCATTATCACGAAACTTCGTCACATTGCTGCAAATTAGCAAGCAATGATTATTATGGAGACAATCCATCTGACAGCATTGTGACATGAAACTGAAGTGTGTAAACTGGTATAAATATCTAACGACATTGATAACATGCAACTAGGAGCACTGTTAATGGTGTTCGCGGTTGTGTGATCAATCGATCAATTTGAAAACAGGTAAACCTTGTAAAGCAATAATAATTATTTTATTTCTAGTATTAACTATTATTGCAAACATTGTTAATATTTTAACGCATTTGCAAAAAAACTTCACACCACGACGTGGACGTTCCTTGCTACAGAGTATACGACTCGAATACGTTACGTCATCATTGCGTCCATCATTGCCACTCGCTTAGTCTGCTGTCTAGTTCTGTTTCACAAATCACAATCACAACTAAACTAAAAGCATCATACTTGGGGACGTGTTCTCGTGAAAACTGCCGATTTGGTCTTGCTATCATACAAATGCTTTGCGATTTTATCGCCACTTAGTTGAAATATACTAAATTTTGTCATGCAATGCGTTTTCATACCTAAGAATTGAAATCGAACGCGTACTACATATTGCAAGCCCCGAAAATATATCTGAATGCCAGGTTACACAAATGCAACCCCAAATCCCCGTGGAAATCTTAATATAAAGCAATATATTGTGAATCCGGATTTTATGTTAGAAGTGTGAAAAATAGTATCTCATTCATGTTACCTCAACTTGGAAACAATATGACTTTATTTAGGTATAATCTTCTACCAAATATAATACTGCATTATGGGATTGAAGTGCAGAACCGAATAAGTATGACATTGTACAACGTGACACTACACACTGTGTATATTGTTGATATACATAACATGGATACAGCTAAATGTAAAACACGTAAAACGCTGAAATAAGATAAGAATATGTGTGTCACTGGAAGTAAACGGTAGCTTAAATTAAAGACACCGGCGTCGTGTTTTTTATGGCACTGTTATAACAAGTTACATTGTTTATGTTGCAGGTTCTTGTCTTGTCTCAATCCCCGTTGCCATATACCGGGAAGTCGTTTACATTAACTGGTTCGGTGTTCGTCCATTTTGCTATGACGTTTTCCCCACACTACAATGGGACTTTGGGTGGTACGTGTACACTTTTATTGCAGTCTACGCTCTGCCAGTTTGTATTATTACCATCTGTTATTCCAAAATGCTATGTCAGTTATGGAGCCACGTAACACCTGGTGAGGTGTCGACTCATCATACACAGAGTCTCAGACAAAAGAAGAAGATAACCAAAATGGTTTTCATGGTAACGTTTTTATTCTTCATCTGTTGGATGCCTATTCACATTCAAACCATCTGGACCAGAGTCGACCCAGAAAGTTACAATGCTACAGAGAATATCTATTACTATCATCTATTTGCTAATTGCTTGTCGTATGCAAATTCTTGTCTCAATCCTTTCATCTACGCCTTTATGGGTGAGAACTTCAGGAAATCATTCCGTGGCGTTATGCCGCGATGTTTGAAGAAGCACTCGGCGACCGTCGGTACTATGAATCAAGCAGAAGGTGGCATCGCCAGAAGCAATATTGGATCCTTGTCGACATCGGCGCCCGTGCAAGGAAACAACACGCTTGAAACGTCGGCACGGACATGAAGATACAATTAATATTCTTCAAATACCGTAACTGACACAACGTACTACAACGTGTTTTCTTTTTAAGACACACGTAGGCCGCAAAGCATAAAACATCGATATTAAACAGTAGGTCATTGATGTCATCATACAAGTGATGTTAAATGTAATTATCTTAACTATACAAATGATCCCTACTGAAACTTGTATATGCCTTATCTATGTCAATTGAGTAACTGAACCGGATCAGTGCACACAGTGTATAGTCATACAAAGAAGAAAGTGATCCGGCTTAAATATCGCATAGCGATAGAGCTGCAGGAAACGTGTACCATTTCGGAATTCAAATACTAAACTTCACACGTAAAAGTTATACAACCGATTCAGTAATATGTGGGTTTAATATTGATAAGTGTTTTATTATTTGATTGTTTGTGTTAACATAAAATATTACTGTGTCTTGTAAAATTGTTTTATTACTTCGATGAAAAATAATGTTAACACAAAACCACACCACCACACAGCGCAGGGCAGCACAAAGCAGTACAACATTACACCAAGTCACAGCACAACTCGCCGCAACACACCACATCACATCACATCACACCACACAACACAACATGACAACACAAAACACAGTGTGTATATTCTGTACATACCATATACATCTCTGAAACAAGTGGATAAATTGAAAGTTAAAGGAAACCAAGCGAGGCATATGGAACTATATATATTGATACATTTTGTGTCTGTTTTCATTGCATTCTCAATGTGGCGTTTGTATTTAATAAATTTAACGCTTCATTGAAATGTTTCAACTGCTATTGTAACATCAGTACTAATTATTTACGATCAAAAATTATAAGATAAATCAAATTCATTTTACGCTTTGACAGTTAAACATGATCATCCGCGTGTTACACCTTAGCTTCTAGATGGGGGGGGGGGGTGAATCGCTTTAATATTATGGAATTGCTTAAATGCTAAGGCGCTTTACAATATTAGACCTAGTAACTGGGCCATACAAATCAATTCATAAACCATCATCACTATCGTAGCCTGTAAACTCATGGAGCATTAGCTAAATATCATCACCATACCTATCTACTGCTGGATGGGGAGACGCTCAGACGCTCAAAGAGTGCAGTTCCATACTCAGGGGAATAATTACATGGTACAGACGCGACTGCAGAATTGACAATCCGATTTTCAGAGTCTAGATTCAAAGCCATTTTACCACGATGCCTCCTAATACTGTGTTTTTATACGCCGTCGCGCTCTGAAGTTATCTGTTTATTGTATTCATAATGACAAATAGCCACACAACGAAATTCGGTTTTCGTTTTGAAGATATTGATTACGTACGTCACAGTGGAGGACGAAGTGGATCCCCATACACATAATATTGATATTAGAACACTAATATTCTAATTGTAAAAAAATAGGCATTTTAAAAAAAGAAAAAAATGGGCAGTTATTATATTTATATAGATTAATAATCTTTTTTAACATAAAACATACACAGTTGAGTAACTTTCTTTAAACCCAAATTGATGGTCACTAGTTTCCAAACACATATCACAGCTAGTCAAAATGATAACTTCATATAATCTAGAATTACTAGTATCTACAGACGTATTCTTTACAATTGGAGCCAATGCAGTGTCTAACATTAGCTGAGGCAAATATTCACGAACGTCACTCATAGTGAGCAATAACGACAGCAAGACATGGTATGAGAGGATAGTACGAGAATACATCAAATGCCCTGCAACTATACCATCAGACCCTGCTGATTTACCCATACTTATTTTTTAATAACACTTTTGATTTCTGATGTAGCAACAATCATACCGTGTTCAAATGCAATATCCGATATTCCAGACTTCTCATAGGTTTCATTATTGTTATCGTTCACAGAAGGCAGTAAATCAGTGAAGTAATTACGCCACAAAACAGTGACGTTATCTTGCCCGTTGCACCCGCCAACCGAAGCAGCTAGTTGTGCTGTTCTGTTAGACGAGCTAATACCCCCCCCTCCAAACTGATTTAATTATTTATGCACGTTATTTAATGCATGATCATACAATACCGGATTTATTGAATGATTTCAATATTTTTCACTAAATCAATCCTGGATGTTGATGTTTTCAGCCATTATCTGCTAAATCTGTTTCTCTGTACAAATAAGATTAAAATTATTATTACTTGTTATGGGGAATATTACACTGCGTTGGACGTGCTAGGTTAATATGGAGGACAAATCTTGATATTGAATAATAATGGATTTCTAAATAGTGCCATAGAGCGTCACCACAGAGAATTCAAAATTGTAATAGTGAAGACAAATGCATGAAATAAACATATAAATATTCTGCATCTATTGATCCGAGAAAATTGAAGCCAGATTACAGTATAGTGCAGACGCTAAACAAAGATGTAAAGAGCAATTGTAATCAATGGTAAACACATGGGAATGTTGCAAAGTTCCCTTTCGATAATAGAAAGATGGACAAAGCGGAGCAGTACAGACTATATGTATTGGTGGTTTGTGCAACATGCCTAAGTATGTGAAGTGTACTCACAGCATGGCAGGTTTACACTGATAAAGGTATGCATCAGTCTACTGGGATTACTTTTGATGTATATATTTAATTAGCACAACACCAGTTACTAGTAAACGTGTTTTAGTGACTCGGATTACATTTGATTCTCTGTGTGCACAATCTCGACTATAACCTAATAACGTCACATGAAGACATCTGCACCATCGTGATGGATGGAATCATACGATTAATAAAGAATCATACTGCTGTTATTATAACCTATTTAAAATAAAACATCAGAATGGAATCAACACAATCTCCGAAAGTATATTTTGCTCAAGGAAAATGCGATGAGGGCAATTGTTTCTAAGCTTGATTGAATTCCTCGTACATATGTGAAGTGTTCTTAGTAGGTAACATAAATCACCTTATAAAGTAACTTCAAAAACGCGTCAAGATACATTACGTGAGTGGACATAAATACTAATCGTTGTTTTACAAACGTTCCAATTCTTCAACGTCTTCAATACTTTAATCAAGTTACTGCAATAAAATAATTAGCATTATTATAGATTATAAATGGGTAACTTATGTCGCAAACTCACCTTATTGCCTCTAGTAATTGAAATTATCTTTTTATATAGTTTTGAATTGATTTACTAATTTATGCGGTCAGTACTTCAGCTAACGTTGAAGTCTTAAATGAATTGAAAGTACCTCATTACTGGCAAACCACATATGTACCAGGAAATGTTTATTTATATATTGACTACCTTTATAAAATTATCGCCCATCACCGCCTTCTTTTAAAAGATACTGTTGAGAATTGTGTTAATAATCGTATGAAACAAATGGATATTAGTAATGTTCGGGGGAGTCGAGTGCAGACAACACCAGTGCTATTCGTTTTGATAATATAACATGTGCGATTGCAAAACTTCACTCACATAGTTAACTTAACTATTTACTGTATTTTGAAAATTGGCAATATATTACAGGACATTAAAAATCTCTTCATTCACTTTTACATCCCATTGAAGCGACATTTATTGTCTTGCCCAAGCATATGTTTTCTCGGTTCCCCGGTAATGTGATTTCAAATATTTCTACTAAATAACTTCACAGAGTTTACGTTTCACCTAAATATACGCTATCTGTATATGTATTGTTCCCATGAAAACGGTTTTTACGATACGATGTATGTCAATCTTTATTCGAGTCATTTTCATGTATATAGTTTTCAGTACGTTTTATGATTTTAACGAGGCGAGTCGCTCATTCGTTTCAAGTGACGTTTCTCCTTCAAAATATCCCTACATCTGCCATTTGAATCTACTACGCAGATAATAAACCACGTTTCCGAGCAGTTGATCAGTCGATGACATTGGCCCGAAAAGGCCTTTGTACTGTAAAAGCAATCACTGACAGATATATATATATATTTAGATATTGTCAGGGATATCTCTGATATTGTAAGATAAAAAAGTCAGTGCGACGTTTCTATTTATATTCGTGTTTCTAACTGTGTATGCGCATCGATAATGACAAATAATGGATTACACCATTATCCCAATCAGGAAAGAGAAAGATGAATTTTCTAGATTGTATTGGTTACTCATAATGGGCCCATAAAACGCCACATAAAGTTATATTTATGTCTGGGTCATAAAAAAGTTGTCTTAAGATATTAACGTTTATTTTTCTGAATAGGTACATAACTATCTAAGGACACGGGCTTATTTCGTTGAAACTGTGGGTTAGTAGAGGCTGACTAGCTTTGTCATTTTTCTTTCCAATAACAACAGCGTATCAATCTAACCTGTCGGATACCCACATCAGATTTCATTCAGAAACCATTTGATTATGCATCAGAATGATATATTACGGGCGACACATGTGACATCACTTCATGTATACCGTGGAGTTCATATATCTTTCGTTTGTTTTGTGTGTGTGGATTTGTAATTTTTTATATACGACTTTTATAGAAAGATTTACCATTGGATATGTTATTTACACATTTTAATAAACACAATGAAGGCAGTGTATATTATTTCCATTGTTATACTTCATTGTACTCACCCACTTATTCTCATCATCTCAGAGCAGCTATTAGAGTTATCTTTGCAGGGGCTAAGTTCAAAATACCAAAGGACATTGACGCGTTACACATTACACCATTACAGGTCCGTCATTATGTGACTTGAAGTACCATTATGATATACCAATTACTAAAGGGTATAAAGAAACTTATTTTAAGCTCTTTCATATTCTGTTGTGAAAGAGGTTTTGAAGAATACTCTTATATTCGCCAAGCTTTACTGTGAAAAGGTTCGTGTACGGTTGTGAAAATAAAAGTGGTGTTTTGATGCTGCCATTGAAAAAAACGTTACGGCTGGTTTCAATGCGTAAATGCCACTAATTTCCAATGTGACCATTTGAAGTGCTTGACAATTAGAAACAAGATATTGCCAA